GTAAAGATTATAGAGCACGAATGTCTCTCCGGCGTCCTTGTCTCCAAGAACCGCGAAACATGTGCTTTGTAATGTATGTACGGCAGCAACAACCTCTTGTGAGAGGTTGTTCTACAGATTACCAGGGTACATCACGTGGAAGTTGCGGACATCTTTAAAAAATGCAAATAATGAATGTTGTTCGCAAACTTTGTGTTTGGAAAAATTGATTAACGGTTTAGAGCACTTGGTTCTCTTCTACGGGAGAGCTTAAAGCCATCCCGTGGGTCTCAGCACATAAAATCAGAATTATTAAAACGGCCTACGCAAAGTACGAGTAGGTAACTTTGGGATTATAGCCGTCGGCCATACCACGCTGATTGCGCCGGTTCTTGTCAGAATTCTGGGATTATATAAGCCACAGCGTAAACATATTTCTATTGGTTTCCTGCGACACGTTGATCGTGCATATCGGGATACAAAAACTTTGACACACACCTTGGCTTAGCGTTGCCGCTGAGCCAAGGTTGCTCAGCGGCTTCACGTCGTTCAGCTAAGCTGAATAAATCGGCTGGGATTTCCACGTTTGGCAGTAGGACTTAAATGAAACTGGATGTCGAAAATGCTCCAGTACTTAGGTTTATGTTTATGTGAAAGAACAAAGTGAATAAAAATCAATTCGGAATATATATTCATTTAGTTTCATAATTAGGTCGAGGCCGCGGCTCGTCAATATTGATACTTTGTTGAATATTTTTAAAGGCTTTACATCGTGTCCACATCGTCTCCACATCGTGATATCATTATCAGAGACAGCGTAGAGCTCTCATCTGATAATGATATCACGATGTGAAAAGATTCTCTCATCTGGCGTTTTTGAACGTGCACCTAAATCTATGTGCATGAGTCGCGAGTATTTTCGCCTCCACTGGAAGCCGTCACAGCTGAGATTCGATCCCGCAACCTCCAGATCTGCAGTCGAGCAACATAGCCACTACACCACTGTGATGGGTACGGAGCCAATGGAGAATACTCCATTTGGTGAACATTGCTAGTGATAGCTGCACGCATTATCCCAAGTAGAACAAAGCATGGCCATGAAATCAGTAGCTTCATGTTACGCAAACACTGAGGGTAAATAACTTGGAATAGTTAGAGGAATTGTTGTGGCTTTCACTGGTAACAGTACCTGGGTGAATTGTGTTTAGAAATAGTGGGTAACGACTTAGAATACCTGGTAGTCTACTATGGGAGAGCCGAAAACCGGCCCGTGGGCTTCACACTACAATAAAGACCTAGAACTTCACAGAGGCACGACTATCACACGTTGAGGATGACTTCTATGTTTTATAATATATATGTACGGAATTTCACCAGACACACATGCAGTTGAAGTCCGGATTGCTGGATTACACCTACTTTTTTGTTTTAAAGTTCTTGTTCACCTATTGCTCATGGCTTTAAAAAAGCAATAAAATTATTTTCCTTCTTTTTCTGTCTGAGTGCCTTCTTTATTATTGTGCTCGAAAAAAAGCTGTAAGGGAAAGCCGATTGGGCGTAACACGACGATGCGTAGAGACAATGGAATGAATACTACGCAAGCAGTACGACAGCTTGTGGTTGATTTTGATTTTGCTCGCTCGCATCGTTGAAGTGCTTAGAAAACTAAATTAACGAAAATTTAACGATAGAAACATTCCGAAAGTTAACTGTACATATATAGTGTCATATAATGGGTATATTTTTCACGGAAAACAAATAACGCGTTTGCGGCCACACACTGACCCAGTATACCTCGTAGACGCCATGTTTAGTTTGGAAAATGGGTGTGCTGAAAAGGTGGTGCTGCCTAATAAATGGAAATAAGAGGAAGGCATTTTTGAAAAGAAGGCAAGAGAGAGAGAGAGAGAGAGACAGAGAGAGAAAGGAAAGGCCGGGAGGTTAACCAGATATTGGCATCTGGTTTGCTACCCAGCGCTGGGGGGGCGGGAAAAGAAGACAAAAACTGAATTTCACTTAGGACTTCTCGTAACTGTAGGAGTGTCATAATAAATAAATCAGCATTTATTATAGCAAGGGAAATGAGGAAATTATCAGTAAGCATCGAACTACTTTACGGGATAGTAGCATGCTAGTACTTTAGTTCTGTAGCTTCCACAGTGCTGCCAGGAAAAGCTGTCGCCTAGCATGGCGTCATGCGTCAGTTATTATCTGAATCATCCGAAGCAGTGCACGTTCAAGTTTCCAGAACAATGCCGCATAGCAGTGTTCTTGAAAGTTGCTTGTCGTTAAAGACCACTCGTATGACGACAATGTAGGTGCCTATGCAAGTATAATGTCTTAATATTGATTCGAACAGAAACAAACACGTCAAAAGTCCAAAAGGTCAATCATTTATTCAAATGTAGTGATGGCTCCTACACGATTCCTGAGTAAAAAAAAAAGTGCTAATTCGCAGGGATGTAGCTGTAATGACGAACAAACATGGACATATTGTTATATTTCACAACTGTGCGTCATCGAGTTCATTATCCACCCGCATCGGTGGTCCAGTGGTTATAACCCTCGACTATTTGGCTTAATAGTTTTCGGGCCTTTACTCTTAAACTACAACAGGCGCAGATGTACTCAAAGCTGGGCACCCTACTCAAAATCTATCCCGAGCAAGGCCCGTGGTTCCTGCCCCGAAATTCGGATAGAGGGAGTGTTTTACCATTAATAATAAAAAAAGTGCTTTTCAAAGACTTCAACAAGCCCCCCCCCCCCCCCGAAAAAATTCTTTTGCTAAGAGCCTGTCCCAAGCTATTCCACAAGGGCTCATGCCGTGAATGCAGTAACATAGCCGCACTAGAGCACATGCTCTTGGAGTGCAAGGTAACGTAACATATCCGTGATACTGTTTTGACCATGTGGGAGGCAGCTCTTTAGCTTGCACGAGAAACTTCGAACATTCGCGCACATTTATCGAAAGTGTTTTAGTGTATACAATGGTAATCCCTATACGTTGTCCACAAAACTGATCGTTTTCATCGCACCCGTGGTAGTTCATGCTTATATTGATTACAGAGCGACCAATCGGCGGTAATTCTTTCTGGTTATGTCTTGAACTCCAACCAAACGAGGAAGAGAAGTGACTTGAGTGACGGGCAATGAGAACAACAGCGCCACGTGGATGCTGTCGCGTGCTGTCTTGCTTGTGCTGACTTGTCTGACCACGTCGGCATCTTTGCATAACAGTTTTGTCTGGTTGTGTTTCAAGTGCTAAGCATAAACATAGCTCTACCAGTTGAAGTTGAGTAGAGAGGGAGGGGCGAATGGAAAAACAGAAGCTCCAATATTCACGGCCACTTTCAGAAGTTTGTGTTCCAGGAAGCGACGGACAATACGCACCCGTCACTTGTCGCAAGTGAAAAACCTGATCGACACATGAACAGTGACACACTGTCAACAACGAAACATTTCAAAGGACAAGGTTTGTTAGAGCAAGGTCGCGCATTTCCCGCTGATAATAGAGTGCAGCTCTTCGAGCTTCTTATGAAGAGCAAGACGGTTGAAATACGCAAATTTTCATTACGAAAATTTATCGGTGAACACCTGTGATCTTCTTTAACGCGTTCTGGCACTAATCATACGTGATAATGAGAGGCTGTATAACGGAGTTTCGGTGAGATGCCATGAACAATAGAATACAGGAGATTCATCTGATATTACGGCAATACAGAACCCTCCAGTATAGTTACGTGTCAAAACGCTAAGAAAGTCCTGGGATACTTTTAGTAGAACTGGAAGGGAAACGCTAGTGATTGGCTGCGCCAGACGCATCAAATATCGAAAAAAGTGTAGGCCCTGGGCATTGCAGATGTATATAAGACCCCAGCATATGTGTGCCAAAACGGCTTTGAAGGTGAGGGGATGATTAGGCAGCTTGTATTAGCAGTTGTGATTGGCTGCTGGTTCTAGTTGCAGCCTCGCTTTGTGCCGTAATTGGTCACCTCACACGGGCAACGCCTTGGAGTCATAAAAGGTGAAGACCAATAAGTGCACAAAAGAGGCTCTCCTATTGACGTACGCATAGGCCTGTCTGTGAGATATAGAAAGGCCAATGGAAGGCAGGGAGAATAAGCAAGTCACACCCTGTTCGGAGCCCTACGTGGTGGAGGGTGAGAGAGAATAAAAAATTTGAGTAAGGAAGAATGTAAGAAGAGGACAACTAATACAATCGAACACATAACAGTGTTCACTCCGCATGCCGATGCGTCGAACTGCAAACTGTTACAGAGTACGGTTCGACTTCGACGGTCTTAGAGGAAGTAAACTGTAATCTTCGATGCCAACGAAAGCTTGCAAGGACCGACTTCAATGCATCCAGAACTTGCAGGACTTGCAATACGCTTCCAGTTAATGACATTTGTGTACCCGAACTCTGCTTGGGCGTTCGTATTGGTGCACCCAACTATACTCGGGCCCATTGCTCTGTTTCCGATGCACGTGTCACACATGCCTAGGAAGTTCGCTTCCTTCGGCGCTCTGTGGTGTCAACTTCGGCCAAATTGAATACAAAAAGTGTCCAGTACCAAACAGGAGATGACGTGATACACAGAAAAACAACCGCACCGATGTGCTATTTTCGGCAAACAACATCGACTACATGCTCGAAGGAGCACCACTCAGCTGGCGTCTCTTGCGTTACGTCGACGAGTTCCGTCAGTCTAGTAACCGACCATTCGCCGTTCCCGATTTCGTAAACAAGGCAGGTTTAAATTTGGCGCTTTTATGCGGTGCGATTCAAAACAACCAAGCTTCTTGTACCTTGGCGGTTCAGTCTTGCCCTCGCTATTATAGCCTTGATTTCACTGCTCCGACGTCTCAGGCAAAGCTCACAGAGCTTATAATTCACTGGGAAATGCGCTTGGGCCTCGTTTCTTTTTCAATCATACCGGCCGAAGCAAGAACGATATCTCCATCAATAAGTCGTGTGTTGAGTTCCGGATAAAGCCGATAACAGCGAGATGGCACCGGCAATGGCGTACGTAATTCTCGTCTTCGGAGTTGCACTCCTGCCTGCAGCAAACGGTAAGCTCAAGTGATTTACCTTTTCATCTTCTATAACGGAAAGGTCGCGGGGTCAAATCCAAGCCACGGCGGCCGCTTTTCGATTGAGGCAAGCTGCTGGATGACCACTTACATTTTTTTAGGTGGAAAACTCCACACGATCCCAATTGCTGCAGCTCCTCACTAAAGGGTGACACATAATCGTACCCTAATTTCAGACAATAAAGGCCCAATATTTCTATAATTCTTGTTTTGTATGACGTAAATGGTTCCAACGCTCTTATCGCATATAGCACTTCCGATTACAACTCAGACTCGCCCGAAGCGCAGTGTAGCAACCCCAGCTCTTATTGAATGCATAAACACACTGGGTGAGTATACATCGTTTTCCGTTAGCTGTTATTCATTCCGCAGTGGTAGTTGGCCGCTGTGAGCCAGTGTTTAAGGTTATCAAGCTGTTTGCCCGAAAGTTGCAGGTTAGATACCGGCTGCTGCGATTTCCTTTCTATGAAGGTCAAATGTCAAAGGTCACTGTGCTGTGTGTTGTCACTTCGCTTTGAAGAACACGCACTAGTCGATATCTTCCGAAGCCCACCACTTCGGCCTGTCACATCATCATATTGTGGTTTGTTGCGCAAGATGTCAGCCCTTATTTTTCTTATTTTCATGAATATAGTATATTGCAGTAAACTCATACCATCGCATTGATTCACTGATTAACTTTCATTTCTTCCACTGGGGCAATTATCGTTTCTGTAAATGGATATACCTGCAGAGGCACACAAGGACACAGATGAGATAGGAAGGCAGCAGGTTGACAGATGGTACTTGGAGGGGCATGACGTGACACAAAACTTACAGGAGAATGACATAAACAAAAGAAAACAAAAACAGAAGCAGAAGAAGAGGAGACAGAGGGAGTAAACAAAATACGCAGGATTTGGGTGTCTCTGAATTACATGGACGAAACAACCGCAAGGTCACAAGATTTTAAGGCGCTTTGGTCTGCTTGATCACATCCGAAAAACCGTCAGTATATATTAGCGACAACCACATTCCCCCCCCCACACTACATTGGAAGCGCTTTTTACAGTGAGTTGGAATTGCACTAAATCTGCTAAGACGCACACGGAAATTCTTAAACTGTGCAATACAGTCATCTTCTTTTTCATTCTCATACAGGACAATGTATCAACGTCACGCTTCCGAACATCCTCAACTTGGGCGAGGTAAGTCATCAATCAACTAGCTAAATAACCGACGCATATGTTAATTAGGCACTTCCTAGTAAAAAAAGCAACTGCAGCGCGCGACAAATATTTCTAACTCCGCTCGTACTGGACGGATTCAGAAAACTTTTACGGTGGTGAATTCGTGCAACAATGAGCCCCTATAGTGAATAATTTCATAGTTGCTTGAAAAAGTGCTGAAGCACCCCTTCAATGTGCGTAGTACTTACATTGGCTGTAAAAAGGAACTTATGAGTCAATGGCAAGTGCCTAGCATGATTCTTTTGCAAAGATGAATGGCAGAGGCCCCACAGATTTGGGGGAGAAGGTCGTATTCATTCTTAAGTTTGAACTAGACAAGGCGAGAAAATGTTGCAGTCCGTGAGTGTGCAGAAACTGCGCTGAAGAAGTATTGCTAACATACGCTACAACAAACGGTCTTCTGCTTATGTACTCCATTGTTTCAAGATTTTGGCCCATTAATAGCTAGTGATGCTAAAACCCGCAGAATGAATCGCCACCCATAAAATAGCTTTGATTTTGTAACATCATCTAAGCTATCCTAATTAAACTCTGAGTTTGACACACACACATCTTCTAAATGTGTTGGTAGTGAAATCAAAAGATACAGCATAAGACGGTTCTATAGATCCCAGGTTTAAGCTTTCCTGGTTAAAGAAGTGCGAGTTTGACAAATGCATCTTTTAAATGTTTTGGTAGCGAAACCAAAAGATACAAACAGAAGACGGTTTTATAAATCCCAGGTCACATTAAACAACGGGGCCGCATGTTTCAACTTTCCCAGTTAAACAAGTGCACAGAGTGATCGGGCAGCGATTACAGCAGACAAGCTGTTCGAAGTGAACGCTTTGGCGTCGCTGTCGCAACGCTTAGAGCTGGAGGTGGTCATGTTATGCGCTGCACTAGAGCTTGCAACGTTGTTTGAGTTTCAGCACAACCGTCATTGTTATACGCGCTTTGGAGTAAGTGGTGCGAAGCTCCATGCCTGTGCCAGAACCCCACCGTATCATTCCTGCTAGGCCCTTAATAAGCATATATAGTCGTGATGGATCCACAAGGTTTAGCCTGAAGAATAAAGAAGTGCCCAGGTGAAAAGTGGTAATAGCATGGCTGTATGCAAGAGTGTTGAGGCACTCCCCATAGATTGACGCAGGGTCAAATGAAGAGGATTGATGCCACACAGAAATGCTTCGAAAAAGGCTTGCAAATTATAGGAGTACTTAGAGAGACTTGCAAAGAACAATCTAAAGGCAATAGCTCGGCGAAAGGAGGAATCAGCATTTTAGTCAGTCAGCTTGGCTGCGTATGTTTTACCATGTGACTGCCGCTTTTTTTTTCGCACCTCTAGAAATATCCCTTTAAAGGAAGCAGGTACGAAAAAATGAATGAATAACATCACACACTCAATCGACCAGCGTTCGTTTTCAGTGAACGCAAATGATTGGACATCACATTTTCAAAGAGAGGTGAGCTAACTTGACATTTAGACGGGAAATAGTGAGGTGGAAGTTTTACAGTTGGAGAGAAGCATAGGCGGAAGCAATGTACCATTCATTTGTTGTTGAAAATTCACCCTCGAAAAGCTGCATAATGCAGTTGACTTTTGACTCAAGCTAATTTTTTTATCACCTCTAGTGCCTGGGAACCACGCTGAGAGCCTGTCCCGACACGTCGGTAAGTTTTGCAATATACCGTTAACATACAAATAGGCACTCTTCGTAGAAAGCGAGACTTTTATTTTCTTCTTGTTCTTTTTATTTGCTGCGTAAATTAAACGCACTTACACAAACTCGCGCGCGAAGAACCTTTAGGAAACTACATGGGAGCCTTCTTCACGCGTAAAGAAAAAAAATACTCTAAGAAAAGTATTGCCTTCAAGTTGTCTTGCCAACGCAAAAAGAACATCAGGAAACGACCAGTTGAAGAAGGGACATATTGCCCACAGTGACACTTCGAATAAGACAAGACCACTTCTCGAAACGTTGACCCACGGACACGCTATATTTAAGGATCATACATACTGTTTACATTAGGGTGTTTCATCACTTGCCATACTGGTAACGTGGAATCCTACGAACGTAAATACGCAGCTTGAGTATTTTGTTTATATAACGCTTAAATGGGCTCCGAACAAGACAAGCTTCCTCGGGAACTAGTCGTGTTGCTGTAGCTAAGCTATCATGGTTTTATGTCATGTAGCACTTTATACGTCTTGGTGGCGTGAAACTCAAACATGGTCCGTGAGATCGTCCGTTAAATGTAGCTTTGAGCCACATGCACCTGCTTCGTTATCAGCGCCGATATGCTCGCTCTTACAATACTTATCACACTTAAGCTCAAGTACGTTTCAGTGGCTCTCTAGGTGTTTCTCTTTAGTTTTTTTTAGAAATACAGGGCTAGTATTAACCTTATAATGATACTTCTCTTTTCAGGATGGCCTCGTACCAGACCTCACTCGTGTTCTTGGGGTAAGTCAAGGCATGAATTCTCATGTCAGCTCTATATTACCCATGCAATGTTAACATTCATTGCGTCATGAACGTGTTTTGCATTTTCAAGAAAATGTAGTTACTTGAAATCTCAATTATGCGTATTTAGAAATTCGCTCGCTATTTAAAATGAGTCTAAAGTTGCACTGAAATACGGGACATAAAAAAGTCTAGAAACAGCCAAGCGACCATCCGTATCGGGAACTGAAACTCAGCAGGACACAACAGCGCAAACTATATTTGCTCGGAGAGAGAGAGAGAGAGAACACAAGAAGAAAGGCAGGGAGGTTAACCAGGGCTGAGCCCCGGTAGGCTACCCTGCACTGGGGAAGGGGAGACGAGAAGGAAAGTTATAGAGGAGGAGATAAAAGATCACTGACTGGGCCGACGCGTAACAGTTTCATCATCACAAACGATGAAACAGGCCGGTGTCTTTGAGAAAATGCTCGGGCATTATTACTCTGGCAATCTCATGGTTATGGCAGGGGTGTCTGTATTTCAAGAGCACCATTATTCAGGCCTGTCACTGCTATTGCAACTTTCAAAAGTTAATTACTGAATTACTGAATGGCTGAATGAATGAAAGGTAATGTCATAGCAACGCAGACAGCTACAGCTTAACCGACGCCATTTTTGCCTGACCATCACACCCCAACAATTCTCTTCGCAGTGTGTGCTCCAGATTCTGCCTCAGATTGGAAGCCCTGTCTCTGTGCTGTATAATGTCGTCGGATTACTTGAAGCTGTCCTGGCTAGACTGGGCCTATGTGAGTGTGTCTTCCTGAACGGCTTCGCCAGAAGAGTTTTGTCTCCTTACAATGCCCCGCATCCATTTCTTGTGGTTCAAACCAGTCCAGCTTGTTCGAAGTAGCTAGATCACCTCGTTAAAACTGTGCCTAGTCAAGTTTTTTTTTCATCAGAACGGTATCCACCAAGACAAGATAGCTCGCGAAGTACCCAAACAGCTGGTATCGGCATCATTTCATTGTTGTGCAGGTTGTATTTACGTAAGGCCTAAAAACAGAAATTTTTCGTTTTGACAAAATATTCCAGCAACTGTTTCAGCGCAAATTTTCAATGAATATGCTGTGAACTACAGCTTTTAAGGTGACCCGGAAAAATTTTAAACTCTAACATTTTTTTGAAAACTTCTACGTGTGGTCATCTTGTGCAGTCGTTGAGGTTGATCAGAGTGTGTTCTACCTGAAGATTTTCTCGTGGAGTAACTACGTTTGATTACATTTTGCATTGCAGCTGGCGATATTGGTGGGCTTGCCAATATCCTTTGTCGTCCCCTTGGAATTCCGCTGTTCAACTGCGGCACCTTCAGTCCAGGAAACATCGTTTGCCAGGAACCTCTGCGGATAAGCCTGCCCAGTGTATTCAACGTCGGAGCGGTGAGCCTGATGATCAAACTAGAACTCGCACGCCGTACGAAGTCCTGAAGGAAAACTGAACGTCCGTTTGCCATGTATTTGCGCATATCTCCCATACTCCGCGTAGCGTATTATCTAAAAGGAATAAACGATGTTTTTTTAAGCAAAAACACAACAAGAAACAAAAAAAAATCAATGACAAAGTAATGTGCACAGGAAAAGTGTAAAACAGATGGCATAAAAAACGTCTAGCGTTTGGATAATGTTCTAATAGTGAGTACTGTGATCTAGGTTAGACCCTAGCAGACGAATATATATATATATATATATATATATATATATATATATATATATATATATATATATATATATATATATATATATATATATATATATATATATATATATATATACGACAGACGCGCTAAACAATCTTCATAGCGTACTTACGCTCATATCTATACATATAGAAAGCACAAATGAGGGACGGGCAAATTCGTGTTTGGAAAAAGTGTTTAACGATTTAGAATACTTGGCACTCTAGTATGGGGGAGCAGAAAGCAGTCCCAGTGCCCGACTTGTTCTCGACGGGTGAATAGAAAAAATGGTTAACGATTTTGAGTACTTCGTACTCAACCATGGGAGAGTGGTGAGCCGTCCCTAAAAGCGACGTACAGATTTCGTGGCCGCAACGAATGATCATGAAAACAAACGAGACATTTTATTCATTTCCGGGCCCACTATTATATATCGACAATTGTGATGCTGGTTTCACTTCAGAAACTTGGTCGTCCTCGTAAATTTTGTTCGGTGGGCGTCCAATGCTGCTTAGACAAACATAATGCTTTGAACAGTGACCACAAAGTTTATGTCAATGGTATGACATAAATTTTGGGCTTATATTCGCTTATTATTAAAGTAGTACTTATATTCGCCGCAAAACAGTACTTGTGGTTTGAGCGGAAAGCAGCTAATGGGATTGTCTTTCAGCAGGCGCGCCGACCAGCAGTTCAGAGACGCGCCCCATGAACATATTTGAGTGATGGTACATGATATCACTTTGCATTGTATGAACATAAATTCAAGGAGTAAGATTACGAACCGTCTCACCGTATGGAACCCTGATAGAATGCGAAGTAGCAGAGGTGCGCACGGCGCTGACCCGGCCTAAACGGTTATCGACGTGGGTTCTGGAAGAAAGGTTGGAAGTGAAACTCGGTGTAGCGTTTGCTCGAGTAAACGTTTGTTTGAAACGTGAAGGCACGGGAGGCGGGTTGGGTATTGTGTAAGTTTGATCTCAGACGAAAGAGTCAAAAGAGTGTTTCTACTCGACGTGCCGTCAAGCATTGCGAGCGGCAGTCAGGGCGAAGCGAGAGAGAAGTGTGTTGCGAGTGGGCGGAGGAGCCGGCAGCTGTGGGTGCTGCGGTGAGCGTGCTGCGGGTCAGGGAGAGAGTGACGTCAGCGCACACCTGTGAAGGAAGTGTGTGAGGGCAGTGTGAAGTCCGCACTCAGGTGAGGCGTGACCTACTTGGCACCACTCCTACACCTGCGGCAAGGAGAACGCGTTGCGGCACGCTCGTACGGACGCATGTACGTGTGGCGTTACACACGTGAGTCAAAGGGCTGCTTCGCATCTATTATTGCGATAGATCATAAGTATTTCATTTGTAATCACTCTGTAGTGATGACTACAGAAGAAAGGGTAATTCGACTGTATGATTGCGCGCGTTAGCATTAATAGCTTGGGTGTGGCTGAAAAATTTTGTTAGCTGTATCGATTGAAACGTTCGTTTTCATAAGAAAAATATTATTAGAAATGATATTTGTTCAACATACATGTGAACTAAAAACCTTGGTCGCCCAGAAAATTTAGTATCAAAATAAAATTTCGATAAAAAAACAACGCGTCACACTTGGAGGCAAATGCCACCAACCTCCTCACTTTTTAAGCTCCTCACCTTGTACTTTAAAGAAACCGCGTATCTTTAACATCTACATGATTTATCTGACCGTTTTAAATATCTAAAACACTGCCTGATTTGAGTACGTTCAAAAATAATGACAGAATAATTTTTTTGTGTATGACGTTCACAAATCAATATATAATTGAGAGACACCTTAGGAGAGTTCTCCGAAAATTTTGACCGCGTGGGGTTCTTTAGCGTGCACCTAAATCTGAATAGACGGGCCTCAGGCACATTCACCTCCGTCAAAAATGCAACCGGCGTGGCTGGGATTCTATCCCGCGGCCTGTAGGAATGACTTATGGGAGAAAATAATGGGGGACCCTTAAGCTTCACCTTTAAGAGTTGAACGCGATAGTGAAATCCGGCCCCTAGTGCACCCTTCAATCGCTAAGTGTATTTCATTTTCATTTTATTTTACCGTCAGGACCGAAGTATTACCGAGGCGAGGGGTTAACAATACATAAAAAAGTAAAACAAAAATAAAGCAGCAAAAGTTGTTAGGTAATACAAGAAATAATTGGCCAGTTAAGTCCTGGAGTGATGATGTCCGTAAAGACCAAGCGAAACTTTGAGTGGTCCTTGATAGAACCAATAGTGTTGGGAAAGTGGTTCTATTCTTGAGACGTCCTGGGAATAAATGATTCTTGACAGGTTCTCGTATGGCTGTGCATTATCCCAACCTTATGGACAATGTCCGATTAATGCGAGAAGAAATGTAAAAAGGAGATAATACAAGGTTTTCACTCATGTTGGAATTGTATAAATATAAGTTATGAAATAAAGCAAGGCGAAAATACTTACGTCGGGGTGAGAGGGGAGGAAGTAGTAAGGAGTTTTCCATGGAAGTTACGCTTGATGTTCGTCTGTAATTGCTATAAATGAAACGAGCGGCGTTATTTTGGATAAGTTCAAGCGATTGAATATGGGTGGCGGAGGGGGGGTCCCAGATGGATGATGCGTAATTCATTTTACTCCTTATGAGTGTTCTATATGGTTAATTTTAATGAGGAGGGAGCGGAACAGAAATTTCGCCGGCTTTATTCTAACATGTGGTGAGTATTGCTAATTAGCTTATCAATGTATAGAGACCAGAAAAGTGTCGAGGTTATGTAGACGCAAAGGTACTTGTATAATTTTACGGCTTCTAGGAGAATGTTATTAAGATAATAGTTAGGCGGAGGGACATTGTTATGAGTTACACGCATTGTTTTACATTTAGAAACGTTTAGTTGCATCAGCCATACGTCAAACCAGTTGGAGATAGTGTTAATATTGCCTTGTACGCACGTGTTATCGTTGTTGTCTGAGATTTCGTGGCTGATAATATGTTTTGTCACACACCCACACACACACACACCCACACCCACATCCACCCCCCCCCCCCACACACACACACACTGTAGATTGTATCAGTGCACGGGCGGGAATGGTACATACAGATTTCTGATCTAGAACAAGAGTCGCATGGCCTCCAAGATACGCACCTTGTGCTCGCCATCTCGGAGGCCATTAAGGGTCTCACAATGTCTCAAAGATCGCAGCACATTATCTAGCGTTTGCTGTTTGCTTGATCAACGCCTCTGGAAAAGCATGATACGTTTTTCACTAGATGGAGCTAGTTGTCTATTTTAGAGATGTTTGAAAGTTCCTGTGTGTTTTTAACAGCGATGGCTTCAACGTCCACGCGTTTGTTCGATGTAGTTTTAAGCCTCCCTAATGCGCCTATGAATCACCGAATGGGCTCCTTTTCGTCGTGACACCTGTCGAACAAAATGCATTAGGCCCTGAAACACTTTTTCAAGAAACCATGGAAGGAATTCACTAGAAGAGCTTATTGCCTCGCGAATTCAACGCCACAAAAAATTTTAAGAATTATCTAGTGCGAGTGAAGTTACAAAGATTTATCGCATGCTGCAATTGCATTATCTCTTCTCTCGTTCCTAGGGAAGCGCTGGAAGCTGAGCAGGGAGAGGTGGCAAGGGCAAAGAAACCACGTCACCCGCGCCTCGCAGCCTTGAGCACTTCTTTTTTTTTCTTCGAATGCGCTGCTTTTTTAGTGTGATCGCGCCCGCGCGTGTGGACAAGTAGCGGCCTCCCGCGGTCATCGCTGTAAAATGCTTATTCGCGCACGGACGATTTTTCGCTCACAACCAACGGGGCTGATGCCGACGGCGGAATTTCCGCGACACAAGCTCTCTAACGCTATCGCGTTAAAAGGAAGGAAGAGACAGGTGGAGCTTCGAGGCTGTTAGCCAGCTTTTAGACAGGCTGGATACTCTGTGCTGAAGAAATGGGAAGAAGGAAATAGAAGCCACTGATTGATATTTGGGGTTTAACGTCCCAAAGCCACCATATGATTATGAGAGACGCCGTAGTGGAGGGCTCCAGAAATTTCGACCACCAGGGGATCTTCAATGTGCACCCAAATCTGAGCACACGAGCCTACAACATTTGCGCCTCCATCGGAAATGCAGCCGCCGCAGCCGGGATTCGATCTCTCGACCTGCGGGTCAGCAGCCGAGTACCTTAGCCACTGTGGACCACCGCGGTGGGGTGAAACAGAATCCACTGAAATCAGAGGACTACTCATTACTGTCCAACGTACACACATTCCTTGGATGGTCAATGTTATTATCTGAGTACAAAACCACCACATGATTATGAGAGTCGCCTAGTGAAGGACTCCAGAAATTTCGACCATATGACTTTCTTTAATGAATACTGGCCCCCCACAGCACACGCGAGTCTACCATTTCGCCCCAACTAGTTGCGATTGGCGCGGACAAGATCGAATCGGGCCATGAGCCAATTACCATGACTACTTCACGAGTAATATTTTTATTTCGTTATTAGCTATTATTCAGAGAATAATTGGGCTAAAATACGTTTCCTCGTGAATCGGAATCCTCACATATGACTGAAAATTTAATACAATTCGGTACTTGTAGCACGTACGCAACAAAAGAGTGGTCCGTTAAGAGTAACAGAGCGGATTTCAAGAGAATCCAAATGCGCGAAGGTGAGACAGAAAGTTAAGCTGAGGAATGAGATTAGAAGCTTAGGAGTATAACGTGGTCGCGAGAACCACAGAACCGGATTTATTGGCAGGACATTGAACAAGCCTTTGCCCCGGTGTTGGTGCAGTCAATCTGATGATGATGACGACGAAACTTTGACAGTGATTGGGCTTCAGTCTTTGATTGAATTTTATGCTTTGTTCAAATGTTGCAGTGCCTGAACACAACCCTCTTGTTCTGCGAAGCCGGGTCAACAATTTCGGTGAGGAACCTAATTTCATGTGATCATCACTCATTGTTGAGTGCAAATTGCAGCTGTTTTGGTGACAATGACGCAATCTTTTTTCCCCCAGGATCCCATCCTGAGGGAGCTGTTGCAAGCAGTCGGAGTAAGTATAATCACTACCTAAATTAATAAATGGTTCTTCGATAGACGTTACTAAATCTCAACACTGTGACGTTCCGGAATGAATACAAAGTCTATATACTAATAATTCCGGTTCTCCTTATGTAATCATAAATACCAGCTGAACTCGGCAAAGTATTTCGGCCTGCCAATTATTACAACCACGAGCTTCTGTGCAGGGAGGCCCCTAATTCGACGCCTCCTAGAACAAAAAAAGTTATCCTCGATAATGCCTGGGCCAAGTGATGAAAACAAAAACAAAAAAAACACCATCACGTCGTGACACCATACGTCGCCAAACTGGGACATCAATATGAAGTCATCGAGACCTCACACAAAGACGTCATAACACGACTTGGTTGCTTAGAGAAATCTCGGAGGCAGTGCCGTGAGAACCATGAGAGGCGTAGAACATAATTTTATGTACGTGCTCTAGAAGGAACCATGGCGCTAGCGTCTATGGAAGCTGTAACGCACGGCGCTTCAGTCATAATTGGACTGATGGGTAGTACATGGATTTGGCTAGTCTTCGTACTTGCGGCTCGGTTTGGCTTCTTGTGGCCTTGAACCGCTTTGTCACGAGATGACAATCAGTGAATCTTCAGCAGCCGCATTTTGCCCACTTAACATTTTAGGCTCAACAATTCAAATAAGGCCACGAAGTTCACAACAGCTTATTTTTTTATTTGAAACGAAACCAAAATACAATAATAAACAGAGCCACAAGGGCGTTTGAAGCCCGCAAGCATGCATACTATCATTAGATTTGTATACTTACAATGATTTCCATGGTGACTGAACGATCACAGCGCCAGAGTCCCCCCTAGTTAACTTTAGGAAACTCCTTGGTGGAGAATACTGCGGCGCCTTCAATTTTGGAGTTAGTGCACAGCATGGTTACGTGCGAAAAAGCTAGGTTCTAATTTATATTCAATCTGGAGTGATTCTGAAGAGAAGGAGCAATGAACTTCATTATAGAAAAAAAAACAGTGCGTTTAGGTGGCCGGGCCTAGGCCTCCCATTAGGGGACGTCAAGGGCTTGTCTCGACGCCGCTTCACGGGCGTGCTGGGTCGACCGAGCCCTTGCACTATAGATATATGGCATATACGAGCTAGTTGAGTCGGGATCATGGTTATGGCATTGTAAACGTTGCCGCCGTAAATTTACACATTACCTTTGTGGACTACTTTAAACGAACAGAGACATACATTTAAATATCCCGTTGTTTCTCTTTCGCATGGCACATATTATCTCATCAATGGTGATCTCAGAGGTCATGTGGTACATAAGGAACTCCGTTGTTTCTAAAGTAAAAAAAATCAATAGCGTTCATGTTTTACGCAAGTTGTTTTGATACAGAGGCAAAAGTGTTAACGGTATTCTGCCACGCAAATTAAATCCTATATACAGTGTTGTGTTCGCTTTTACAGAATTTCCCTTTTATCTACATATTAGCTGATTTATGTGCTTTGATAAAACTTGTTCTGCAAATATTTTGTCTCCGAATATGATTCACCAAAACGTAGCCATATACAGCTATTTGGGCTAGTAGGTATTTTTTCATATTAATACAAAAAGTGGTCGTGGGCATTACACACGTGGACAAAAAATGAAAAAAATAAAGAGGACGCAAGCGCACACTGGACATTGACAGTTAATTGAAAAAAAAATAACACACACATTTTACACAACGTGAGCTCTTTCTCTGATTACAGCTACTTAAAAAGGAGACTCGTATTAGAATTGAATGGACAACTAACAATTTTTTCTTCAGGGCAGCAATGAAATGTCACCCCTCGTGTTAAAAAAAGTAGTCACGTTACAGTCGAGAAAACACAACACGTATAGTGCGCTTTTTTTTCCTTCTGATCATGTTTGTTACGGCGCCTTCCTTATTTGCATCACGGTTACAACATAGAACTTCACTGCAAATTATCCTCTTCGTTCATGTGCAGTGCATTCTGAGCGTCGCTCCAGAAGGTCTACAACTGGACCTCGTCTCGAGCCTGGTGTGCCCCCTGGCGGACATCCTGAATTCGTCGGTGAACGAGTTCACCTCGCGACTTCCTTTCCGGTTCCTCACACGTGGAATCACCAACGCCGTCGGCTCCCTCACCGATAACCTCCTCGGAGCAGTCGGCAACTGTAAGTGGGCTCTGCTTAAGGGGGTTACGCTAGGGTAACTGGTATATGTTAGTTCCCACGTAATATCTTAGTAGCGGCCGCAAGTTTTCTCATAAAATTTAACATGCTGGCGAAGAATGCCACTGGGTATCCTGTCATACTCGTTTTTTCTGCTTACATTGCTTATTCTCCTGTGGACGAAACCCAAAGCATAAAGTAGTTTCAATGTATCTTTTCTCTGCAATAGCCGGAAGGAATGTAGTGATATTCAGCCGTGTTACAATCGATACACGTAGTTTATACCTTAGCTAAAGAATAGGGCATCCTTAAAAGAGTCAGTGTTAGAAATTAAAACAACTGCATTCGTAAAGCCAGATAGGGTGCACCTTGAGTAATTTGTTTAGAGCTGCAAGATCAGAAATTTTTTTAGTTCAAAGTGTTTGCAACCAGTTGTGCCTCATTCATGCAAAGTTTTAGCAAAATCAATTCAGTAGTTTTATGAAAAGGTACAAAGAAGTTTAAAAATTTATTAAAAAACACGATTTAAGAAAAAACGAAGTTTTGTGTGCGCTTGCTGCTTACGCCCGAGAGCACAGGACACACTTTGGCGTGACAATTGAACAGCTTAGAGCGCCCCCTAGACGTCGGGTTTACACAGGTTTGTTCCTCAGAATGCAATGGAGGTTTCGCTGCCAAGATTAAAAAAACCCGATTTTTTGGGGGGGAATTGAAGGGGGTTTATTTTATCATACCTTCTTAACAGCGAGAGACTTAGATGTGCCACCATACGCGGAAAATGACAGTTGGCGGCGTCAACGGCAACAAGAGTGCTACAATAATCATGTGCTGACGTCATCATATAAGGTCACGAGGGCGTTACAGTTCAACAATATCCGCGTCTTCATAATGACGTCGATACGACGTCGAACCATGGGATGTCACGTAATGACGTCATGAAATGAAATAACCGCTTAGTCTTAGGTAGGGCGATACAGGAGGTTCTGCTGAACCAGCAGAACCTCGGATGTTGAAAGTTTTCATTACCTCCGATACTGGACGCACTAAAAGGCCACGTTGAGTGCCCGAATCCTTCAGGGGGAGGGGAAGACGAACGTTTGTGATATATGCAATTACTGAGAACTAAAAAAAAAAGGGTGATGGGTTTCGCCCTTGAGATGCCATCGACAATGTATACCAAGTGCGTGAATTGTAAGTTAATTTTGAGTGTTTATGAGCACTCCGTCAGTATTTATGACCAAAGTTCGGTGAAATATTATAAATGGTATATAACTTTCTTCTTCAACTAGTGAGCAAGATGAAAATTTATGGGCATGTACTAGAATTCATCCGTGCGATAACTTCGTCAGCAAAAAGCACATCCTTATTTGCCCAGATTCCTCTTTTTTTTTCTTACCGATAATGCGTAGCTCACTTTGAGCCACGCACTCTTGCTAGGCGTGGCCTTTTAGCTTTATATATAGTTTTTTTTAAATTTAGTTTGAATAGCGCAACATTTATTACGTAGTAATAAAACGAATTTATTAATAAGGCTGCGAAATGACAACCATAAACTATATTATAATAAAAAATCGTTCATAAGTTTTTCCTTGACACTGGAAAATAGAGCCTATTTTCCAAAAGTCATATAACCTAATGGATGATAAAGGAGGAAACTCGGCATTGTTCTTGAGCACCTCACTTTTATTGCGCAATATTGAAGTGGCTCGTCCAAATTCACGCTGCGCTTTCTTCTTTTCAGCGAGTAGGAGTTAATAGCACTGAACATTAAAAAAATCAGTGGTGGCTTGCTTCTCATGTTTGAGTTGGCGAGAAAGGTATGATTTGGGCTCAAGTTTAACTGCGGCTGGCAGCAATCTTTTCACCGAAAAAACACCAACGTGGCCGTGACTTCAGCGGCTTTGCAACTGGCTGATCATGGCTTGCTGGATGGTGGTTCGAAGTAGTATGTAGAACAATAAACGTGGAACTTCCAGATATTTCAGTCATGATCCACATTTCGTGGTCGTATTATCCAACTTTTAATGAAACTGTGATCGCATTAAGCGAATGAAAATGCATTACTTCCAGGACCATGGCAAAAAATAAAAGGAAAATGTTTCTGAGGTCAAAAACGTGTTACGCAGAACGATATCAGCGAGATTGCACTGTATTTTGTTACAAAAACATCAGGATAATACATCACATAACAATACATACTTTTTTTCCGCGCCTACTCCCATGGTAGTGCAATAATACAGCTTAAGAACATTAACCTAAGGAGGAGCAGTCATCCATGAGCCAATTGAGACGAGCTGATGATCGGAGCGTAGTAAAAGACCAATGAGCGAGGACCTGTTTTGGATCTTCAAACACCCGTTGTACTGCTATTAGGTGAGCGTTCAGAAAAATCCATAGGGGTTCACGTGTGTTGAGGACCCACTTATAACAAGAAAACCACTAAAGCTAAAGATCTGCATGAATTATGGGCCCTTTAACATTTGGAAAATATTATTTTGCATGTCGTGGCATCGAAGCTAGACTCTAGATGTGCCCTGCACAAGATTTTGGTGTGTGTTTTGAATAGAAAAAAAAAAGAAAACGTACTTTACTACATTTCACTTATAGTTTATTACAACCGCGAGTCCTTGCCTTCATCTTTCCATTTCTTATGAAGTCTAAAGCAATACAACATAATCACCTTATACGTGTCGTATATTCCAACACGTCTAACACATGTGATTATTACGGCATTTGCAGGTAACACGTAATCCAACAAGACTAACTGGACCTTACTTCAGCGCACCTACCAAGGAGCTGAGTCAAACGCAGGATAGCATGGATGTCAGTTGATGGTCCGGAGTGGAGTTGCTGCCACGGTTCAACTGATCGAAGCCAGCAGCCCTCACCCTCACGAACGGCAGCCGCAATGAAATGCTGGACATAAGGCTTACTGGACAAGCGTCACGCGAACAAACAATAAATACATAGATAAATAAACATGTAAATGAACTAGCGAAACGCGTTCTGGCGGAACACAAGAGTGTTAAAACGCCTATGCCTAAACTTCATCACAATTTTTCGGCCAAGGTGTTTGCTCTGCGGTTTCTGGTTAACAAAAGAAAAAAAAAAAGGGAACGTCAGATGGTCCCGATTAAAAAGCTGCTCACTTGACTTCGTGGTTAATAAAATGAATTGTCGTTAAAATATTTGTGACTGTTTGTTTCTTTATTCCACTCAGAAAATTCCGCAACAAACAACGCATTGTAGGGATCCATTTTATGCCAATCAGTCAGAAAGTAGCTTGCTGTGAGTGCTGCACCTTCTGGCACTGAGATGAGTCTCTCAAGATGCTGTGACCAAACCCATGAAAGATTTATACGTATGCGAATAGGGCATACTTTATTTCCTACATAAGCTTCATCTAAAGAAATTCACGGGTCACGATCAGTACTTATCTCTAAGCCGACACGCTAAGGTGACAACTAATTATCTCTTCGAAATCTACACTATATCTCCTAAACCTTCGGATTTTCCAGACGACTGGTGCAATGCTTGAATAGTTCTTACACACAAATCAGGATCGAAATTAGAAATAACTAACTACCGACCAGTGTCGTTTATGGGATCGTGCTGCAAAATAATGGAGCATGTAATTCTCAAGGCCATAATAGGTGACTTCGAAACAAATGAACTTCTTTATGAATAGCAGCATGGTTGCTGATCAGGACTCTCAACTATAACCCAATTAGCTGAATTAACTCTCAAGATAGCCTACGCAAATAATGACAACGAGCCATTTGATGGCATAGCTTTAGACTTTTTTAAGGCGTTCTATGGTGCCGCACTCAAGAATTGAATCACAAAGCTATCGGCTTTTGGCATTTAAAATAAGTCGGCATCCTGGATTAGCCTTATTTCAGCCGAACACAAACAGATCGCAACGATCGATTTGCATCTATACCGCGATCACTTGATGCTTATTTTGGAGCACTTCCGGGATCGGTTCTTGCGCCACTGTTGTTTTAATGTTTAACAGCGGCTTTCACTTATCTGTTGAAAACTCTATTCTAATGCGCCTATTTTCCGAAGAATATTGTGTACACAGTCGTATACAACTCAGACGACGAAGCTAAACTAAACGATTCCCTGCGAACAATTTATTCCTGATGTAACATGAAATTTAACATGTGAGAAACTCAACTCATTTCATCGAGAAAAAAGACAAACCTTCTAAGCTTTACATATATAATAAGAAGCTCAATTATCGAAAAAAGCCATCAATTTAATTACCTAGACATTACAATCTAGCCGAATCGAAACTGGGAACCAAATATTTTGAATACGTGTAAAAAAGCGGAAAGAAACTATCTTTTCTGAACAAAAAAGAAATTGCGCACTGAGCCAGCACATCTTAAACTATATGCATACAAAATACTAACTAGACCTAGTTTAGACTACATTGATCTCATTTGAAGTCCACATCTAAAGCAAACCATTAGTAAAATAGAACGAATACAAAAAAAAATGGCAGTGAAGTTAGTATATTCAGATTTCGTGAGACTGTGAAGTTAGACAGGCTTGTTTGCAATAGGAAACTTGCAACACCTTTTGCAACGAATAATAATTTTGCAACGAAAATGCATTTACGAATTGTATTATGGTTATTGCACATTTAACGCTCTCATTACACCCGACTAAACGCTCATCGCAACTGAACCATTCTGAAGCGCTCCACCAATCTTTAGGTCGTGTTGACGCTCAAAAACATCGCCTTTCCCGTTGGATATTTGGTGCTGGAATAGATTAGATAATAATAATGTGTGCGTGTAACACCATTGAATCATTTGTGAAGCTCATACAGTGTGTCAAATTTGAATTGTGAGTTGTTGACAACGCATGGTTTTTTTCTTGTTTTGTCTCCACTTCTGCATTGGTCGCGAAAGGCCTGCATTATATTGAGATAATAAGAAAAATAGGCCTCGCAATATCTGTTATGCGTCTTCGTACAAGAAAACTTGAGAAAATCGTACACGCTATTTTCCCGTAATCTTAACTCTTAAAAAAATCCATTTCAAAACAGTTTCTTCTCTCCCACGAATGTGGATTGGGATTTTCTGCCATCTATGATATTGTTACGGGAATTACGAATACACGGAAGAGAGAAACGAGTGTATTTGCAATATTTACAGGTAGGTGTGACACCCCAGGGCTGCTAGGATCTCGCGCGCCGAATCCGTTTCTTCATCGGTGCTTATACGACGGTGGAGCCACGCCCACTGCCTTGTAACAATATTTAGCTGCGATAATCTTTTTTTTAGTAAAATGGAGTGACATGTGTTGAACATCTAGTGTTTTTCTTTTTTTTTACCTCGTCTGCTTATCGCGTTCCTACCCCGTACGTTTTTTGTTGCTTCCGTTTGAAGAACCCACCTACAAAATGATTTTCGTAAAATTCCTAAGCACGCGTTTTGTTTCGTCTCTTGCGTCACTTGCATACACACGTTCAGATTGCACACGAAGACCATGCGCGGCTTGGGCCAGATTACGGCGTTGCAGTATTTCAAGCAAATAAATAAAGCCACGTGTGTACCACAAGGGCCTCCACTTCGGTGAATCATCTCACCCAGGGCACGGTCCAAATTCGTAGCTCCAGTTGCAAACGGCGCTGAGCAACATCTAATCTATCCTGTTGTCTATAGACCCTTGCCACAGAGACTAAGTTCCCGGCAATGAACAGGAGCCCGAGGGCCCCGCAGGTCTTGCTTCATTTACTCCACGGCCCTTCCCGCTTGATTCACTAATGAATCGCTAAACTTGTTTAATGAAAAAAGTATAGGTTGCTTACTCAAAGGTTGCAGTGGTTCCATTTCGATGAAGGAGAAATGGTAGAGGTGAGTGTATTGTGTGGTGTCACAGCACGTTAAACCCAACAGTAGATGATGTAAATTCCAGGAGCCCACCACTACGGAGGGCCACAATATCGTGCCGTTGTTTTGGAATGTTAAACACCAGTTAATATATTAATAAATGCATCTCACTATGTAACGAAGTTGTCTGTCGGGTCCGTAAGTTTTTTGTTTTTTTTTCGCCGCCTGTAGCCAGAACGCCCTTCCTGTGTGCGTTTTTGTTTTTTTTCCCTGAGTGCACGTGCGATTTTTTTTCTTCCTTTTTTTTAACCCTCCGTCTCGCTGCTCTTTCCCCACTCCCAGTGCTGAATAGTAAACCAGATGCCGAAGTCTGGTTTACTTCCCGGCCTTCCTCCTCTCTGTCTCGAGCCCTTTTTGCCGCACGAATGCATGCCTTCACCTCGTGTCGCTTGTAACGTAAACGACAACAGGGCCACCCTAACACTCGTCACCCGTTTTTCCCGTTTGTGCTAACCCATTTTTAACTACGTCGAGAAGCTTACGCAACACTGTTGTCACGTTCTGTTTTGAGAGCGAAACGTCACAACGAGACACTGTGAATTACAAAACGGAGGGAGTCCCTCGGTTTCTCACTCGTGGCAAAGGCACGGTCGCCGCACTATCACGGCGCCATCGGATTCCCGAAGGGAACGTTTTGACGGGAGGAGGATTCTCTCTTACAAAGCGTGCGCTAATTATACGCATACGCTACATTTTTTCACAGGTATATATCGAAGCAAACTGTGCAGCATTGTTGACAAAAAAAAAACTTCTAAAATAACGCGAGAAGAATACCCCGAGGGTTGCGATGGTTAGTTGTGCACACCACTGCGAATGCTCTAACCGAGTGGAAGCTAAAATGATGTCGCAAGACCTCGTCACGCCACTGAATGATTCCTCACCCAACATTCATTGTTACTGCGTGAAAATGGTGACGCATTGGTACGATATCACTTGGCTCGTAATCCCCCCAGCAAGGTGGTGCAGCAGTTACGCTTCCCGACCGCTTAACGGAACGTCGCAGGATTGGATTACAATCCCGGCTGTGGTGACAAAATTTTGATGGTATTAGTGCACGTTAACGAAACCCAGGCGGTCACGATGTCGGAAGTTCTACATTGCGGCGTCCTTCCAAGTCGTATCGGTGTTTAGGGATGTAAAAGCCCAACAAAAATAATGTTATTACTATTATATTTTGAATTATAGTTATACTATTACTGTAAAGTATTTTTTATTAATTATATACTTAATAATATTACTCCCTTTATTATGAAATGTTACGTGAAATGAGTTCTTTAGTATGAAGAGCCATGTTAAACGTACATGTATCATCAGCGAATGCCGTCAACTAAGGGGGAAATTTAGTATGCAGCAAAAAAATGGATTAACTTCTGCCTTGAGACTGTACTTCCTACTATTTACAATATTATAGTTTATAGAAGGAAGCTTGAGTCAGTGATGAGGATGATATGTGGTGTTTAACGTCCCAAAACCACCATATGATTATGAGAGACGCCGTAGTGGAGGGCTCCGAGAATTTCGACCACCTGGGGTTCTTTAGCGTGCTCCCAAATCTGAGAACATCGGCCTACAGCACTGTCGCCTCCATCGAAAGTTCAGCCGCCGCAGCCGGGATTCGAGCCCATGATCAGGCGGTCAGCAGCCGAGTACCTCAGCCGCTAGACCACCACGGCGGGGCGAGGCTAGGAATGTTCACGCAACAAAGTATTTCAGATAGTCATGACCAGGCACATGAACCCCTGACCAATGGAAAAAAAATTACTTGTGAATGAGTAGTTCGGTTAGTTTGGCTCCGGATGAGGTACGAAAGAATGTTACGCTAGAAGTCTTCGTAAGGGAAAACAAAAGTGAACACTGAAGTCGGATGCATGGTTGGTTTAAAGGTGACTCGCCGATCGACAAGACCAGTGACAAGTGACAACGGAAGAATGGGAAATGACAAGGAAGGAAGGAAATAGTAGAGAAGAAAAGGTGGGGAGGTCAACCAGTTCAGGATAACCGGTTTGCTACCCTACACGTGGGAAGGAAATTGGTGTGATTCAAAGGAGAGGGACAGAGAGATAGCACATCACACAGCGCGTGCTCAAGCTTCTAGTCAGTAAGAGTCCAATAATCTGGCCTGGAACGCGACACCCTTCCCACAGGCGCTTGGCCAAGTCCGTCTTCCTCAAAAAAAAAAAAAAAAGAAATTGACGGGTGATCCACGAGGTGAATGATGATGAGATTGGGCGAAGCTCATGGAAGTAATACCGTGAAATTTTCTTCCGTTGATTCGCCCGATAAAAAACACCTGGCGTCTTTCGTTAAGCAGACGGCTTCTTTTTTTTTGCTTTAGAAACATCTGGCGTCTTTTAGTTTTGCTTTTAAAAACATCTGGCGTCTTTCGTTAGTTTATTTCATCCATCAACGGCGTTTTGAACAAACATTTTTTTATTGTTTGTTCACGCACAGGAGAAATATCACCAGGCTTTACCTTGGAGGTAAACAATGGCTGCTATTGGGAATGAGAGACAGCAGAAGTCGGCTTTTAACACTTCTACTTCTACTAACGTTTTCTACTGGAACATGCCAATGGCTGCTAATAGGGAATGAGAGACAGGAGCATTCGGCTTTTTGTTAACGTGCACGCCGCGAACTTTTTGATTGTTCAACAAAGCACATGAGAAATCTCCCACCGGTACCACCTCGCAGGTCAAAATGTAACACTTGTTACACACTACAACTACGGCTAGGAGAGACGAACGGGTGCCAATTTAAAAAGCTTCGCCTCTAAAACCTCAGCAGTTCTTCGGCCACCTTTAGCTGTAATGTCCTTTGTCGACGACATGCTAGAACAGATTCAACAGTCATTTGTTCATTGTCAAGGCACGCTATAATGGACGCCAGTGATTGTCTCTGCATATTGTAGACCGGACTGTCCGTAAAGTATGTGGCGTAGCATCTCCTCACAATTAGAGGCATCGCAGAGAGCATTTTGGGCTATTCTAGTGAGGAAGGAATACGATTTCACAAACGCCACACCTAACCATAAACGTTAAAGCGGGCTGGCCTCTCTTGGTGGAGTTTACTTGGTATATAGAGATGCACCTATAGGAGCGCAGGCGGGGTTGATGAGTGGTCCAGTTTATCTGGTTGCTTTGTGAACACCACAGAGAGAACTTTCTTTTCTGTGCAAGATCTGGAAGGCTGCTGGCCGCGTCAGACCTTGAAAGTGGTATGGAATCCTCCTCTGTGCCGTCAACAGCAGTGCGAGCGGTATTATCGGCGTGTTCGTTTCCTATGAGGCCGCAGTGACTTGGATGCCAGTGAAACACCACTTGGTGCCCTTTTTATTGTGATCTGTGAATGAGATGCCGAATTTCAAATACGAGCTCTTCGTATGGCCCACAACGAAGTGACGAATTTTTTTTTAACAAGTCTGAGGCTTTGGTAATTGCTCGGACGATGATGATCACACCATTTGGATTTACACGAGTGAAGTCTCTTGCGATTGGCTTGAGATCTACAGTCATTCTACTTGTTTCCTGCCGAAGTGTACTCGAGTGGCAGGGATGGTAAGAAAGGTAACAATCAGACCACTACAGATGAAGCTCCTCTTTTGGCGAGCTTGTTCCAACATGCGTTGCACTCATTGCTGTGCATACGACACTGAGTGGTGGAAATAGGTTTGGCGGGTGATACCTGATACCGAATGACACAAAAGTAAACAAATAATCTCACAGTGTCCCGTGTGTCTGCGCATAAGACGACTCAAAGACGAAAACCATCATATTTATCTTCTATGTCTCGCCCAACCATGTCCTAAATCTTTCTGCACTTAACCTGGTTTAGCATGGCTTCTAAGACTGGAGGCATTGCAAGATATCCGCACCCCTTCTGGCTTTGTACTGCCTCCGAGATGAGCCCGCCACGACCAAGCAATGATGTGATGGGACGAGGGCTTCATGCAACGTCATGGTATGTGTCGTCATGATATGTGTCATGTCGACGGCACAAATTCTGGCGATCTGTGACTTCCTGGTGTAGTCTGTGGCCGCAACACCACGGGAAGATGATTTCCTACACCTCTAGTGTTCAGGCGTCGACACCGAGGGACGCCAACAGTAAATTTTTAGTTTGATAATGATAGCTTGAAACACGCATACCCGCCCACCTTATTGAGGTGGCGAGCACTCATCTGCTAAGTCGTAATTGTCGAAGAAGAATCAATAGACTTGTGGTGCGGGGTTTATGGTCGGTTACGTGGCACCGGGTGTCATCGTCAGCCTTCGTAACGCTGCATCCAAACAGAGCGACTAGCTTTGTTCTTCAAAGCCACGTGCCGCACTTGTCAAGAGGGGTTCAGCTTCACTGGGTGTTCCGTAGCATCGCGACAGGACGGCGGTACACAAGTCGACACCCAATAACACGGAAGAGCCCAAGTATCAGAGCAAAAAACAAAACGAAGCAAAACGAAAACAGCGTGATGCTATTTTTTTCGATAATAACGGTTACAAGCTCCAAGGGTCACCAGCAAACTGATTGTTACGCAACGTTGACAGCTTCCGTCACACCTTTTCGTCCAATCACGCACCATTCTTGCTTTAGAAAACAAGACTTGCGAGAAGTTTAAATAGGGAGCTCCCAGCACTGGGGATTCACACTCGCCAAGTATCCCGTGCTTTTCACTGCGAGTAAACGCTGCTTCATCAGGTGATGAACTTGGCCTCGCCTTCGGCTTTCATTGACATAGCTGACACAGGACCACAACTTCAAGATTCCAGTTCCGAGTTAAGTCCTGGATAAAGTCGATAGCTGCAAGATGGCCCAGACGATGTCGTATATTCTCCTTGTACTCGGGATGGTCTTTCTTCCAACAGTACACGGTAGGTTTGGATTCTACTTTTTTTAACATTATGTCTTTTAAAATCATACTTTCTCACTAACTAAAATTGCTGTTTTCAACCTATTTGTTGGAATTCGCGAGTGATGACTCAGCAAATGAGAACAGATGTGAGAAAAATGATGAAACAATATGGGCCGCAGTTCTGCTACCAGTATAAACGCTGGAGAATAGCGTCAGAAACAAACACTATATCCATTACTGGTGACATATTTTGCCTACCTTCGTCATAGTTCACTTTAATAGTACCCGCTCAATAGTCAGCTGCGAAAATCCAGCCTGAGAAAGGGTATCATGATTCCATATGGTTCAAATATTTTAAAATATTTTGGGGGCTGTTAAAAGTAAGTAAGGACTGATCTTATTTCCGACATGCGTTGAATAGCATTCTTCCAACAAACATACAAATTCAACCGGTAGTTTTAGGCGGTGGTGAACTGTGGGTTGCTGAGTATGTCTCAGCCGCTTTTTACATCGCTGCATCGGTGTCCTTTAAGCTCATGCTGTTTATGATTATCCACTACCGCCCTGCGAAAAGTAACTCACAAACCCGCACGTTATTTAGAGTGAATACGGAGTGGTGTATTTACGAATCGAGAGTCTTTGAATAAGAGTGCGAAGCAAACGACTATTTTCTTGTAATTTGTTAATGAACTGTAAAGGATAAATCATTGCCCGTCAAGTATATGGACGAAGCTGTGATAGGCGGGGATGTTATTCGCAGAAATTGCTTCATGTACACAGTCACAGACGATTTAAGTGGGGACAATCCATCATTCGCTCAAATGAGTTCTTTTTTAGTCTTGTTACCACCAGCTACGTCTAATGTTCAACACAATTACGTCTTTGAAGCACATCGCTAGGCCTCAACCTAATTTTCTTTCGACATAATTGGGAGTTCCAGATAGTGATATCTAGTTGCTACTTTAGTGTTTATAATTCACGGTTGGAATTTAGCTTTTCCATGAATGTACAGCTGTTTCTTGTGTTCACTGTTGAAGCGAAGTTGTCTTTCTATCTCTACGCAGGACAATGTATCAATGTTACCCTTCCCAACATTCTCAACCTTGGAGAGGTGAGTCACAAACACCTCTGAGTCGCACTACTTGATGTTGTGTTTGGAGTTTTATTGCACTGAGATATTCAAAGTTCATTTTCCTGTAGAGATCTTTTGAAACCGTTTACAACTTTGATGCCCTGCCTTCTGTGAAATATATTACTTGTTGGGCTGATGGAGTAGGTGAAGGTGTCTGACAAAGTTCCCGCGTTCTGTCCGTTCTAATCACCTTGTCTTTGGTGCTTTTTACGCTAATCAATCTCTTCGGTCAATGATCATCAACTAGACCAACTCTCTCCTCTAAGACAGAGGAGTGGCGCACTTGGGTTAAAATATATGAATTATGCCTTTTATTAGCCAGCTGTTCAATAATCAATACAATACAATACACGTACAATAACCAATAGATGTGCAAGTGAGTTTGACAGAAGAGAAACTACGTTCCATAAACCATTCATTTTATTTGGTTATCAATGAAGTGCGAAATGTAGTCACGTACTCACGTAATAATCAACAAAACTTTTACACCAATTACAGTGCCTCGGAACTACACTGAGAACCTGTCCTGACACATCGGTAAGCTTTGTACCTATCTGCACGTTTTGTTAGAACCAGGTTACATGTTCCCCCCTAATTTTGGCGAAAGTTTTAGGGGCGAAGCTCCTTAAGGCGTGGGCTGCGCGTCCCCTGTATGTAGCCACCTCTCGTTTAGTTCTTGCAGTGTCCACTAGATGGCGGTACCGTCTCCCGTATGTCCCGTATGTATGGCCCCTGTGGCTAGCATTTTTGGATATCAAGGGAGCGTACGATAGCGTGGTTTAAGAGGAATTGTGGGGAATACTAGACACACTAGGCGTGGAACATGTAGTCACTAATCTTTTAAAAGGTATCTATAAAGGTAACAAGGTAGTTATAAAGTGGGAAAAACAGGTATCCAAGCCTGCAGAGGTAAAACGGGGGCTTAGGCAGAAGTGCCCCCTGTCACCCTTATTATTCATGATGTACCTACAAGGATTAGAGGCAAAATTAGAGGGAAGTGGACTGGGCTTCAACCTCTCTTTAGTCAAACAACGAAAACTTATTGATCAGGCACTACCAGCATTAATGTACGCAGATGATATAGTGCTAATGGCCAACAACAAGGAAGATTTGCAGAGATTGATGGACATCTGCGGTAATGAGGGAGATAGGTTAGATTTTAGATTCAGTAAGGAAAAATCAGCAGTCATGATTTTCAATGACAACGAAGGTAGTGAGCTTAGAATACAGGAGGTCACGCTAGAGATAACAGATAAATACAAATATCTGGGCGTATGGATAAGCAATGGGACCGAGTATCTGAGGGAACACGAAATATACGTGACGACTAAAGGTAACAGGAATGCAGCAGTCATGAAAAATAGGGCACTGTGGAATTACAATAGGTATGATGTTGTGAGAGGAATATGGAAAGGGGTCATGGTTCCTGGGCTGACGTTCAGCAATGCGGTCTTGTGCATGAGATCAGAAGTTCAAGCAAGATTAGAAATTAAGCAACGTGGAATAGGTAGGCTTGCTTTAGGAGCTCACGGGAATACACCAAATCAAGGAGTACAAGGTGATATGGGATGGACATCATTTGAGGGCAGGGAAGCTAGCAGCAAGATATGGGGGAAGAGCGCTGGGCTAGGAAGGTTTTCAGCTGTTTGTACATGAAGAATGTCGATACAAAATGGAGGAATCGAACCAGGAAGTTGACTGGTAAATACTTAGAAAATAGCAGGTGGCCAAACCAAAAAGAACTATCAGTTAAGAAGAAAGTGAAGGAAACGGAGACTGACATGTGGACAATGGGCATGATTAAGAAGTCCGCACTAGAGATCTATCGAACTTTTAAGCAGGAAATTGCCAAGGAAAGGATCTATGATAATACTCGGGGTAGTTCTCTACTGTTTGAGGCCAGGACGGGAGTACTGCGAACCAAGACATATCGGGCCAAATACGAAGGGGTAGACACAGTATGCAGTGCGTGTGGAGAGGAAGAAGAAACTGCCGAACACTTGATAATGTTCTTTAAAGGGCTTCACCCTATAGTTCAGGATGATGGCACAGAGTTTTTCAAAGCACTGGGGTTTAGGGACCGGGAGGGCAAAATAAACTTTAAGCGGGTAGACTTAACCAGAAGGAGGTTATCTGATTGGTGGCTAAAGTCAAGACACGAGTGAAAATTAAACTCTTCACTGCAAAGTACGAATCCTCAAACTCACTTTTTAAGAAAAAAAATAAATATAGTTTTTGATTCATTAGGTATTACGGCTTGGTGGCGCTAGCCACCGCCCGATCTAAAGGGTGCAGCCATATCCATCCATCCATCCATGTCGCCTCCTCTCGTTTAGTTCTTGCAGTGTTCACTAGATGGTGGCACCGTCTCCTGCATGTAGCCACCTTTTGTTTAGTTCTTTCAGTGCTCACTAGATGGCGGGACCTGTAGCTGATGATGAAGAGATGCAAGATGTTATAAACTAGACGGCGGTACTTGTAGTTGATGATGAAAGATGCGAGATGTTATAAAATAGGAATGATGTCACATATGGCACGTGTCATTGGTGGAAGGCAATCGTTCGATTTAGTGCGGCGACGTACGCTAGGGGGAGCATTGTAATAAAATCGAGTAGGCAAAATGTACGGAAGATTCATTGTTTACCAGGTTTTCCTCCAGAGCTTTGCCCACTCATCATCATTCACTTCGTGGATATGGCGAAAGTTTTTCTGATGTTGAAACAGCATTCTGGTAGGTGAATTCAATATTTCACTAGTGTAATGTTGTACTTCTTCTGATCTTATTGAAAAAAATAGGTATTTGTATAGTATATATTATTAAAAATTGTGACCACTAGTCTCACTCGGCATATTTAAAAATCACTGAAAAAAACCTCCAGTGGTGGGCTAGTCACCTGTTCACAAATGTTCTAATGGTCACACTCGGACTGCATTCAATATGTATTGAGTTATTTTTTGGTCTTGGGATATTTGAGTTCTCATCAGGGTGCTTAAACATTTCATCAAAATAATTCTGACCAAACCATCCAAATGCTTAACTTGCGGCAGAACTTAGAAAACCATACAAAAAAGTAATGTTCGAACACTTCTGTTATTTTTCAGTCGGGCCTGATACCGGACCTAACCCGCATCCTTGGGGTAAGTGTAGGGCAGCACCAAAGTCAACCTACTGCCATTTCTTTCCAGACCTATCAATTTCTGCATGTACAATTGAGAGTACAGTTTCTGAAAGTCAGGGTTATAACGTGAAAATAATTATCATGCAATTGACAGTTATACATTAAGAGGAGGTGCAATAAAGCTTGCTCACTTGAGTTCAAATGACAAAATACATCTATATTACTGCTACTTTTCTTACTACTTGAAGCTTCGTAAACCCCAGAGAAACGAAAATAAAAAATTCTATTTTGTCAGTGCAGTAATACGGCCATGATAAGTTACAGCACATTGCCTGCAGTAAATAAAATGATGTTGCTTTAGCGCCGCTCAGTTTGAGCGTGAAAGAAAGATACTATGCAGTCAAGAAGGAGGAAACAACAGACTACAGTGTGAGCGCTAGCTTCCAATTTTTGTTTATTGCGTACCCTTACAACACATCACATAGCTCATTCCTCGTGACGCCACACGCATGACAAAACCATACACGTGTGGCGCAGAACACTATCAAGGAAACCTATATGTGATCCGACTTCAGAATAACGATTCTACACCAATGCTTCACAGCATTGATATAGAATAGAAAACGCCCTCTCGTCTGTTTTTCGCCCTTTTGACTGCATAGTATCTTTCCTTTACGCTCAAACTGAGCTGCGCTAAAGCAATATAATTTCCATGCACCAACTTGTCCAGTCAGCAGTATTTGCTGTAAATAGTTGTTCAGGGGTTGAGTAAGCACTTCCATGTTTCATAGGAGTTCTCTAGGAACGACAAAACGTTCTGCGTGATTTAGCAAAGTGCATCTGCAGCGAATGTTCTCCATCTATTTTGAGTGCGCCGAAAGAGTAGTCCGGAATAGTTCACTCACTGGCGTGAGTTCAGCATGCAATCAGCTTCAATATTATGCACGATGGGTAATGAACAAGGAGCTTACATGATGTATTCTGGTGTTTATGCGTAAAAGGGGCCTCCATCTTCATGTTTATCACTAAAATATTCAATAATATTTTTTTGTAGCATAGCTCCGCCATGTCACACCACTATATTTTCAAGGTGTCACTACCAAAGTTCTTCTTCAAGTTGTGGGAGCGATCACAAGCTTTAAGGAAGCTAAATGACAAAGATTAAGAGCAGAGTTAAACATAATGTAGAAGACATCTGCTGACTCACAGCTATATATTTATTTATGAAAAAATTCAAACGTGGTGCTAATTGTAGACCAAGGCGTTCGGTAGTGGCACTCATTCGTCGGTGTCCATGGGTACTGGTGAAATTCTCGGTTTTAACTATGCGTTTTGTCACACTTTAGAAACTGATCTCAGAGGCCTCGCTTGGCTCATATTTGCTTTAGCTTGAGCTGCATTGATTCCAATTTCTCATCAGAAGAGAGGGCACTATTTCAACAGACTCGTTCAGTTGACTTTCATAAATTACACAGAGAGTTTATTGACCCTTATGTCAAGTACACCCATACTGCGATTTGATTGAAGTACAGTTCTTCATACAGAACCATCAGTTTCATACCAGCTTTATATTTTTAAGACATTTGCTGGACATTCTCAAAACCAGAAATAAGTGATTGACCGGAAATGCGTACGAGCACGGAAGCTTGGGCGACTTTGTATGACGCGACAGAATAAATCATAGTGCCAAAAGCAGGGACAAACAAACAAAAAGAGAGCGGACACCTTTTCAAGTCGGCACTCGTGGTGTCCGGTTCCTTTCTTTCGTATGTCCCTGTTTTCGGTGGTGTGCATTGATTTCGTTGCGGAAGTGCTTATTTTCACCATACCTTACAAGACTGTAGCTGGTTGCTTATGCCTCTAATAAAAAAACGTACGAGAGAAAACTGTCTCAGGTTTTTCCGGTTTAAATGCGTATCAATGTTCAGTTTTGTAAGTCACTCAACTGCACGCATCGACTCGCACACAAGAGGTGCTCGGTTTTAAACACTCATTCATATATCGTTATGCGACTCGCAATGCAGTACTCAATCAATCAATCAATCAATCAATCAATCAATCAATCAATCAATCAATCAATCAATCAATCAATCAATCAATCAAAACAATAAAATCAAACTTTGTTTTTGCGTAGCGTTGTTAGAGCTTGAAGGATATGCAGAAGAGGGTCCCAGGGTCAGGGGACCATACCAGGACCCTCTAACGACATAGGCAGTGCTTTCCATGAGTTTGAAAATATGCTTCTGGCCCGTTTTAATTCCGTAAACGTCTTTTCATTTACAGTGTGTTCTTCAGATTCTACCCCAGATCGGAAGCCCCGTTTCGGTGCTGTATAACGTGGTTGGGCTCCTTGAGGCTGTTCTTTCCCGACTGGGCTTGTGTGAGTGCCCTTTTTTGACTAACACTATCAGCTGGCCCACCTAGTTTCTACGTGTTCTAACAGTTTCATTAATGCGACTCATGCCCCGGGTCTCCAAAAAAAAAACAACTTATTCGACATACTGCCAATTCAGCCTCATTTATGCAATTGTAATCTTAGAATTTGGACGTATGCATGTGGGAGGTAATTAGATTCCCAGAGAAGGCAATTGGGTTAAGGGGAAATAAAAAGTTAGATGGGCAGATGAGATTAGGAAGTTTGTGGGTATAAAATTGCAGCAGCAACGACATGTCCGAGTTGACGGGCGGAGCACAGCAGAGGCCTTCGTCCTGCATCGGACGTAGTCAGTCTGATGACGATGATTATGACAATGATGATGCTAATGATGATGATGATGATAATTATTATGATGCTGACGAATATTAGATATATTGTCCAATAGTGGGGTCTAAACGGTGTTTATTTGAGGCAGAAAAGCTTCGCGTACCAAAAAATAGACCACAGACGAATGAATACGCCCAAAAACTAAAGTCTCCAGACCTACCTTCGTGTGGGCGCGTACCTTCAAACAATTGGCATTCGAATTGAGCCAAAGCGTGCACACATGCTCAGTAAAACTCCCATTGTTCCCCCCATCTCATGAAATGACTACAAAGCAAAAGCCATCTGCTTCATCTTTTACGTCGGAGTCTTGATCCTGCCCCGCCCCCTCCAATAACTTTCCTGAGCTAACGTAGTCTTGCTCCTCCTCCGCGATCAAAGGCATCGCAAGCTTTTAGAGGTGAGGCACCTGATAAGGGTTCTGCTTGTTGGCGTCTACTGTCGTCACGGTGCGTCATGTAGTCATGATCCATCACAAAGGTAACTTGACGTGCTGATGCCACCCTATGATGACATCAAGATGGCCCCAGGATGACAAAAAAATTTTGTGACGCGATTACGACGTGATCGTGACGTGCAGAAGCATCTTAGAATTCCTACTGGTTGAAGTCTAATGCCCCCATAACGTGTCTTGTAGTCGCGGTTTATCGTAAAAAGAGTCATGTGCTAGTAAATGTGGGGAGATTCCTATACTCATAATTGCTCCGCTAAAAATGAATCGGGATACAGTAAACCCGACAACTATCCGATGACACCAGTGAAGCTGAAATGTTTTCTCTACATGCCTTAGGTAACTGATAGTTGGTATAGAATAACAGAAGAAGAACACTGAGTGCTCCCTCCCCGTCCCCAGGATTCATGTTGGTGAAGCTGAAACAGTCTTCCTTATACATCAGCAGCTCCTTGCCAATTTTTTGTGCACCTCACCTGGTCTTGACCTGCCTTCATGTACTGCCCTTGTTTGACCCAGCGACGATGTTATGTAATCGTGCAAGCATTTCACGTAATATTAGGTAATATCTCACTGATGTCCCCATGCATAATGCATTAATGCATTATACACAATTCATACATTGTGTATTAATAACATAATTAACGTTTAACTTCTGCACTGCTTAATGGTTATATGATCCTCATGTCCTGTTATATTATGCTTGCATGTTTTTACGTCCCCATCCTTTTTTTTGTGTGTAAAAAATTACTGTATTGCCCAACTGCCACGCTCTTGAAGGAGAGTAGCAGTATTGTAAATAAATAAATAAATGAATAAATAACATCGCCAGGCTCGTAGCCAAGTGGGGAGGGGGGGGGGCGCATTGGTGAGGGGCCCTGGTTTCCTCCGGAAATTCGGATATTTTTCAGTGACGTCCCCATGGCATCGCCAGGCCCGTAGCAAAGTAGGAAGGGGGGGGGGGGGCGAATTGGTGAGGGGCCCTGGTTTCCACGGGAAATTCGGATGGAGAGAATGTTTTACCAATGACAAACAATAAAAATATGTGTTTTTCAATGACTTCAACAAGTGATTCCCTTACCCCCCCCCCCCCCCCCCCCCCCCCGCCTAAAAAAATTGATGTTACAGGGACGACACATGTTTGGTTGATATGCGTCGTCGGGGTAACGTCATATGGTGACACCATTCTCTACGCCATTTTCGGAAAAGGTGGTGCCATGTTTGATCAAGATGTTATTCCTGGTGCTTTGCTTGAAACATGAAGAAAGGGAATGGAAGAAATTGAGGAGTTTCTGGCATAACTGATTATCCCGAAAAGGAAGAAAAAAAAAAGACGAGGTGAAGATGTTTGACAAGGGCAGTGCGTTTTTTCAGTTTTATTTGTTGTCATTGAACCATCAAGATAGATATTTTTGCGCTAATTAATTGCTTGCAGTCAATTCGCATCAACTAGTACAACTCTCATGTTCAAGACAGAGGAGTGCCATAATTGAGCAATAAATGTCTTTACGTGCTTGTTTGATATCCAGCTTTCGTGATGACATGTATGATTTCACGTGTTCTCGCCACGGCGAACGCTTAGAAGTTTACATAGTTGTCGAACTTGGACTGAGTGTTCTCTTTTAGGGCGATGTGAGGGCCTTCAAAAAGGCGAAAACCTTCATGTCAAAGTGCTGGCTCTGGCAACATTGACATTTCAGCTAATTTTTATTGCATACTTCGGGCAGCTAACTTTCAATTCCTCAGAAATGTATGTAATACGTGAAATCCACGTAATTTTTTTCATGATGCATAGATAAAACTTCAACCACTTTTACCTCCATATTACCATTACAGCGGCTGATATCGGTGGTCTCACGGACATCCTCTGCAATCCACTCGGAATACCATTGTTCAGCTGTGGAAGCTTCAGTCCTGGAAACATCGCCTGCCAGGAACCACTGCAGATCAGCCTGCCCAGCGTGTTCAACATTGGATCGGTGAGGACTGTAGCCATGCCTAAACCCACTTGCCATCAGAATAGATCAGAGAATACGAGAGCTTTATATTGCTGCTTGCCTTATAATGTATTGATAGATCGTAAAAATACAATAATCTGATAAATTAAGGTCTTGTACGAGCGCAATCAAATCCTCTTAAGTGTAATCTCTAAAAACGTTATGGTATGCCAGATAAGTTATAATGCAGGGCAACAGACGGTCACTAGAAGAAGCAATCGCTTCATTTTCTGGACATGTCGAACACTGGAAATTTTCTGGCAAATATACGCAAAGGCACCAGGATCAAAAAGAGTTCGGCTCGCAAGAGACACCCGTTCATGTTTTCTGTCCACAAGGTTTATTCGCTTCCTTTTTTAATAGCGCCCGTTCTTTACATTGTCTTCAGATTTCTCGGAGAAGTCAGGAGCTCTCACACCAGTCTTCTAGTTAAGGTCATCTATGACAGAGACTGAACTGATGCTGCAATGGATCATTCTGCATTCCATACACGTTTGAATGTTTCAGTGTCTGAACCGGACCCTCCTGTTTTGCGAAGAGGGATCAACAATTTCGGTGAGAGATTTTATGTTACATTGCTAAGATCAGCGAGCCCTGGTTGGCAAAAAGAAAGCTTTTACTGACAGTACACGATGTCTCTTTTATGCAGGACCCAATTCTGAGAGAACTGTTCCAAGCAGTTGGCGTAAGTACAACGACTACTTGAAGCGAATACTATTAACTTCTGTGTTGTGTTACAATGAAAGCGCTGAATGTTTTATATTTTGACAAAGTTTGATTGATTTGTGGGGTTTGACGTCCCAAAACCACCATATGATTATGAGAGACGCCGAAGTGGAGGGCTCCGGAAATTTCGACCACCTGGGGTTCTTTAACGTGTGCCCAAATCTGAACACACGGGCCTACAACATTTCCGCCTCCATCGGAAATGCGGCCGCCGCAGCCGGGATTCGATCCCGCGGCCTGCGGGTCAGCAGCCGAGTACCTTAGCCACTAGACCACCACGGCGGGGATATTGTGAGAATGTTGATTGTGTGAACACGAATCAAGACGTTCACTCCACAAACTGCGGCCTTTAGTGACTGTTTTAACTACTTTCAGGATCGGAGACAATCCTTTTGAACAGCCTACCTAATTGGAGAAGCCAACTTAGACCAAGTGACAGTGTCTTGTGACATTGTGTGGAGTCACTAATACCTCACAGTAGAACCATGACAACATGCAAATCTTGATGAACTATGACATCATTATGGTGTCTATGAATACGTCATCACTTTATTTGTGCACAACTTTCACTGATATCAACGATGGTCATTTTTTTTTTTGCGATTGATGAAGGATCTAAGGACATCCAGTAATGCAAACATTGGACTGCCACAGTAATCCGAGCATTTTACTGCCATGAAATAATTTATAACTGGAGGATGAGGTGGGAACGTTATTTGCCAGGAAGGCTGTCCGTAACTGCTTGCTCAGTAGGACCGTTTTGTGGTTGCATAGCAAATGAGCAAACAATTAATATGCACTTCGCGTTTATATTTCTTGCCCAGAATGGTGCTGCGTGTAAGGTATGCTACAGCTGGGCTACCTTGTATAAGAAACTGCCCCCCCCCCCCCCCCCCCCCCCGCTGAGCCTTATTCTATCGTGTCAAAGTCTTGCACAAATTCATCCTCGGTGAATCGATGTGATGATGAAGCCCTAAACCAAGTAAAACAAGAACGTCCTTTATCTGTGCAGTGCATTCTGAGCGTCGCTCCGGATGGCCTGCAACTGGACCTCATTTCGAGCCTGGTGTGCCCCCTGGTGGACGTTCTCAACTCGTCGCTGAACGAGTTCACCTCACTGCTTCCTTTCCGGTCCCTCACACGTGGCATCACCAATGCTGTCAGTTCACTCACCAATAACCTGCTCGGAGCCGTCGGTAACTGTAAGTAGATCGTCTATCTTATACCTGTCAGAACTGTCGTAATTCCTTAGTTCACAGACTACAAATAATCATTTGCTCGTTTTCGAAATCTAAAGTAGCAAGCAAAAAGAGCCTTCCAATACACGCCCGACCAGCATGGAACACGCATTCTATTCAAAGTAAAAGCCTGAGGAGGAGCGACCTATCAAGAGTCCGCGTTGTAAACTCTCCTGGAGTAACTTCGGCAAGTACTGTTCCAAAGCAGCCAAAGCACCACAAAGAATTGATCGATTGATATCTGGGGTTTAATGACCCAAAACCACCATATGATTATGAGAGACGCCGTAGTGGAGGGCTCCGGAAATTTCGATCAACTGGTGTTTTTTGACGTGCACCGAAGTCTGAGCACACGGGCCTACAACATTTCCGCCTCCATCGGAAATGCAGCCGCCGTAGCCGGGATTCAATCCCGCGACCTGCGGGTCAGCAGCCGAGTACCTTAGCCACTACAGCGCCGTGGCGGGGTGCCACGAAGAATAAGTTTCGTCAAGTTGGGAAGTGTCCAGTATGCCGTTATTCATCGCTTTGTGGAGCTGCTAAGTACCCTTCACCCATCCGCAAGGCATTATGTGTGCTTTATTAAAACTGGTGTTCATGAATAAGAATCATGGCTGAACCCATTGTATCACAGGTGGCAACCCTTATAAGCCACCCTATCATTAGAGTTTCGTAATGCTTAACGACGCATTTTTAATACTTGTGTTCTTCAACCACGGTACATTCCATCTGATTGATATGTGGGGTTTAACGTCTCAAAACCACCATATGATTATGAGAGACGCCGTAGTGGAGGGCTCCGGAAATTTCGACCACCTGGGGTTCTTCAACCTGCGTCCAAATCTGAGCAAACGGGCCTACAACATTTCCGCCTCCATCGGAAATGCAGCCGCTGCAGCCGGGATTTGAACCCGCGACCTGCGGGTCAGCAGCCGAGTACCTTAGCCACTAGACCACCGCGGCGGGGCGGTACATTCCATCTGTTAAATTCATTTTTATCCCGACACGATGTCTGTGTAGTGTCTTTTTGCTACGAATGCTCTCAAGCACTGACGTGACTCTGTGGTAGGAACTCGAGTGCCACGCACATGACCAGGTTTTGAAAACCACTCGATCACAGGTGTTTATTTCTCATTGCGGATGAAAGTGATTGTGCAAGCTGGTTTTGGTGGCCCAACACAACGTCACCAAAATCTACTGCTGCTGTAATCCCGTTACAGCTATCGCAGTAACACTCTTAAATCGATTCAATTGACAATTAGGCTAAGGAAAGCCTAGGCGATATGAAGTGCTTTGTAACGTTAGTGATTAAGAATTAAATTGAAGAGCATTAAAGTAAGAAAATGACCCCTCGGACGGTGGGAACTAAATGCAGTACCTTGGATCTACGCTATGGAGCATCAGATGCCCAATGTTCTCTATTTCGGAATGACACAAAACGTTGTGGACTGCGTTACGCTTACCTTCCTTTTAAGTGGTGTTATAAATGTGATAAATATGATACTTGCAGGTAACAAATAACTCTTGAGGACCTGCTGAGCCTTACTTCAGCATACCTGCTGAAAAGAGGAGTGAAACAGACAAACCTGGGCAAACTAGAGTGGAGTTGCTATAGCGGTTCATGAGCACTAAGTCATGAGCCTTCACCTTCACCAGTGGCCAACCCTCCAGATGAGTTGTTCAAAGTATAAATTTTTAGACATCGCCCATGCCAACAAAAAAAAAATGGCACGTAAAAATAATAATATTAAAACGTTTTTTGACGGGGTACGTGTGTGCTTAAATGCCTACGCCAAAACTGCATCACCAGTTTTGAACCAAGCAGTTTGTTTTACAGCTTAGCTATGCACAAAAGAAAAAAGTCAAGACAACTTTTGTCGGCCACGACCAAAAAAGTGATTCCTTTGACTTTTGTTGGTTAGATTTATGATGAATAAATTGCTATATTAAGAATTTGTGTGGCCATGTGTTTGCTTAGGCAGCAAAAACATAACAAAAACAAAAATTGGGCACCTTAAAGTTTCACCTTTAAGATTTGAACGCGATAGTGATATTCAAATTCAGCTTTTTTATTTTTCTTGAATTACACCAAGAAAAGTACAGAAATAAAGGTATAACAATACCTGACAAAAGACCTGTGTACCTGTTTCAAAAAAAAAAAATAGGAAACGGCAAATATGTGGAAAATTGTTCGTAGCATTGAATTTTATGTTTAGTATAAAATGATGACAGAAAAAAAAAACGAGTTCACAATACCTTGTCACTGAACTAAATGAGTCATTTTGTACAAAAAATGTATAACAATAGCACAGCAGCTAGTGCATTTCATCAAAGACAATATTTGTATCTAAACTAAATAAAAAATGAGAAAAAGAGTTTCAGACACAAGTTCATCTAAAGAATGTATGACTGGTCATTATACAGAAACAAAAGAATGCATATTTATGCACAAAATAGTAAGGAGCGTGTATTTAAATAAACAACCTGGAAGTGAGCGTGTTGTGTAGTAATACCCTTTTTAGTTGTTTCTTTTAAAAAGGTTCGACTAACATTGAAGGTTAAATCTTCAAAACAGCCCGTTGCGATAGGCGGAGAGACGCTGGAAGTTGTAAAGGAATCTGTTTTCTCAGAACAGGTGGTAACCGCGTAGCCGAACCATGGCAATGAAATAACAAGGAAGTATAATGATGGGGTGCATCACATGTGGCAGGCAATTTAAAATCATGAACGGTTTTCTACCACTAACCCTCAAGAGGAAGGTATATATCAGAGTTCACAGTCTGCCATGCGTAGGAGGAATTCATGAACAATTGATACATGAAATAAGACATTGCCATCTTGAAGCTCTAGCACGAAGTATATATATGATATTATATATCAATGGCTGCCTAGACATATCGGTATTACCGAAAATCAATTAGCCGATGATGCAGCCCGCTCACCCCATGAAGGAACCCGGGTAGTCCCGATTCCTCTATCAAGGAATTATGCAACAAGACAACTTTACCTGCTGGCTCGAGATCTCACACGCACGTTCTGGTCGTCTACCAGCTTCCAAAGGTGTCAATTTTATGAACTGGATCCTTCGCTCAAGCTAAAGCTACCATCACAACTTTCCCGCTCCGATGCGACACTGTTATGCCGCCTTTGGTTGGGTGTTGCATTTACAAAGGTGTACTCCTTTCGCATTGGTATGGCAGACACTACTACATCTGACTATTGCGGAGCTGAAGAGACCATCGAACACGTCCTGTGCAGCTGCGCTTGCTACGACACACAGCGATACCAGCTCCGGATGGTTTTGAATCAACTTGACCCCGGACCATTTTGTGTGCAGAAGATAGTAGGACCTTGGGCATCTGCCTCAGTTGCGCAGAAAGCGACTGAAGCACTCCTACTTTACTTAAAGTCAACAAACCTGAGCGACCGCCTGTAGACTGTGTGTGCTCCCCCAAGTGTGCTCGTGATTTTGTGTACCTTATCTTTCTGCAACTTTTTCCTCCCCTTCATTCCTTCCGCAGTGCAGGGTAGCAAACCGGATGTGCGTCTGGTTAACCTCCCTGTCTTTCCTTGCATTTTTTATCTCTCTCTCTATATATATATAAATAACAGCTGCATCTTGCCGGTACTTACCTACAGAGCAGGCGCCCGGAAGCTTACAAAGAGGGTTCAGCCTAAATTGAGGACGACGCAGGAAGCGATGGAAAGGAAAGTCATAGGTGTTACCTTTAGGAACAAGAAGAGAGCAGAGTGGTTCAGGGAACAAACCGGGGTTAAGGATATCATAGTTGATATCAAGAAGAAGAAATGAACTTGCGCCGGGCACGTAGCTGGTAGGCAGGATAACCACTGGTCATTAAAGGTAACTAACTGGATTCCCAAAGAAGGCAAACGCACGAAGGGGAGACAGAAAGTTAGTTGGGCTGATGAGAATTAAAACAACAATCATAAAACTAGATAGCAGTAACAACAGTAATAATGCTAATAATAATAAGATGGACAAAAAATTATGCTCTTCTCAAAGATACTAGAGCGCCAATGTGACATTTTTCAAGTGTCTATGACAATTTTCACGCGTCTCTTACAAGAATGTATGCGATGCGGCGAGAGTGTCCATTGGGAGCGAGGCAATAGAAATGTCTGGCTCTCTTTCAAGTTCAGTGTGGTGTAAGGGCACGATAGATTCAATGTCACCTAAGCATGCGGGCTTCAGACGTGGAAATCCTTTCAGATTTTTACGACATTTCGCCTTCACGCCGGAAGTAACTTTCGTACGCGGAAAATGTGATGTCTTTTTTTTTTTTTTTGACGAGGGGCTCCCGAGACCGAATACAATCTTGTACCACGTCACGTATTTTTGCCTAGGTATTTGTTCCGACGCTGTGCTTCGTGTGCTTTTTTTTTTGAGCACATGTCAATGCGTCTGTTCTCACAGTTTCACGTCCTAATGTGAAGGCTCGAGTCAAAGATGAGCACAGGACTTCCTTTAGGTTTGGGAAAGAGGGAGGCAAGCTTCATTAGAGCCCCCCTTGCCACATTTCCAATTGATTGAGTTCAAATGAAAGGGAGGTTCGCAATGAATTGAAAAATTGAAATGAAGCAAAGCTTTTCACAACTGCAAGATTTCGGTGATCAAGTTTCTCCGGGTAAAGATGGGAAAGGCCGAAAGGCTAGACGGAACAGTGTAAGATAACTTAAAGGCACTGCGGTGGGATCATGAAAAAAAGTTTTGAGAAAACGCGTGGAGGAAACGAGAAAAGTTGTGGAATTTCGCGAAGTCAAATCGAAAAGAGGGTGAGATCTGAAATGCGACATTCTTTACATCATCCACGCGAAATATATCGGTCGAATAACTGGGCAAGGGATACGGCCTTCATGATGGGTAACGTCTAACAAGCCAATTTCATTTTGACTCTAAATTGCAGAAACATCGAAAACCAATATGATAAATTATCTAGCCTACCGTACATGG